CAGACCAAACGGATGTCATATTTTTCTTAGTTTATTTGATCGAGCCTCACCCTCAAGTCTTGTGTTTATCCCTCGGGGTAGATACAGGATTTGAGGAAGAGTGCTCTTTCATTTAAACTATGAAAGATATGAGGTCAGTTTGATTTCATATTTTTCTAAAATTATATACATATATATACGTAAATTAAAACGTCCTTCCGAAGCGGGCGACGAGATTTCGATTCCGGCGACCGACAGCTTCTTACGGGCGACCCCCCAAACTTTCTTCAAACCTTCTTTTTAAGTGCCGACAACCGCCTTTTGTTAGAAGCATAACCAACAAACACAATTTTTTTAGTTATGGGATCAAATTTCTCTTAATTATAACTAAGAATGTGAACAAAAATAGTACACATAAATGTATTTAGAGGCAAAGAAGATGAGAGCCAATTCATGATTTTTTTTAAATATCAAAAGGTGTTTCAAAGTTTAAAAACTTATTCGGCATTATATTTATGAGAAACACAATAATAAGAACGGCTTCACCCCAAAGATATTTTGGCATATGATTGATGAACAATAATTCCCGAGTTATTTTTAATAAGTGTTTGTTTTTTCTTTCAACCAAATCTTTTTATCATAAAATGTTGGCACAAAAGCTTTGATGGACTAATCCTTTTTCGAAAAAAAGTTTGACCCAAATTATGTTTGAAATATTCTCGGCCATTTTCACTCAATAATTTTGAATATTTTTTTGAAATCACATTTGTATCATTGTGTAAAAGTTTGTAACAATTATATATAATTTAGATTTTTCTTTCATTAAAAAAACTGACTTAATCTTGCGTGATCATCGATGACTGTCACAAATTATTATTTTTTCAAATATTTAAGAGAATTACAATGACCCCATATACCACTATGAATCAAAGTAAATTGTGTAGTTGGTTTATAAATTTGTAAAAGAAATCACACACATCATGTTTAGCAAACTGCCAAACTTCACGTTGAAATAATATATTTTTATTCTGGAATAAACTAGAAAGAATGTATTTTAAATGTTGTATGATGATCGGACTTCACATTCAAAGGAGGACAAATTTTTATTCCGAAATAAACTAGGAAGCATGTATTTTAAATAATGAGAACTATGATGACCTAACCTATAATGTCATAGCATAATATCAATGTATTTACAAATAAGGACAGAGTTTAAACAAATATTTTAATATTTTTTGTTGTGGTTAAGTACATCTTCAAAATAATAGAGTTCATTTTTTTATTTAACATTACAAATTATCCTCCCAATGATCAATTCTTGAAACTCACAACAAAAAGGATAGAAATTAGCTTTACACTGGTGGTCAAAAGTAATTTTAATAATGGACAATAAGGTACAAGATAAATTTAGAACATGGAGTACATCAAAAAGAGTTAAAAACGGAATGAGTCTGACAATTCCTATCCCAACAATTACCGAGAGAGAATCATTAATGATTTTGACACTTTTATTGTTTGCACGAGGTCTATAGGATGAGAACAATTTAGAGCAACTAGTCATATGATCAGTTGCACCAAAATCAACTATCCAAGAATGAATAGAATTATGAAAAGCACATAACAACGTAGTGGCTGGAGAGACCCTTTTGTACAAATGAGTATTATGGAGTTATGGGCAATTTTAGAGATTAAACATTTTTTTTCAGATGCTATGATTGTTTCTTGGCGAAAGGGACTGAAACCAAGTTTGTAGGAGGCATTTTAGTTTCCTCGACAATAGGTTGATAAAATCAACCTTCTCGTTTGGATTTTGATTTCTAATTCACTGGTTTAAAATGAAGCTTCCAACATTTGTCCTTCATATGTCATGTTTTTTTGCAATGCTCGCACCACCATGGGTTTGGTGCGTGTTTGCAAAGCTCCATAAGTTGAAGGTCATGAGTCACACGACCGACGTGGTGGAAGGAAAACACACACAACTCCTTCATAAAAGGAAGATTGTGCGTTCAATTCTCACTAGAAGCTTCAACTTTCGATCCACAAAGGGAGCTTCAGCACTCTCGAGTCATATGTCCAATCACAAAGGGGGAAAACACACGCAATGCCTTTGTATAGGAAAGATAACAGAAGCTTCAGCCTCGATCCAACTTAAGAGAAATAACCCCTCGTAATAAAATAAGGAAATAAAAATTATAACATGCCAACAATATTAAGCTCTAAAAACAAAAAATACCAAAATAGGAGATGTTAAAAATAAAATCTTCCTAAAATTTCAACATAAATCAAATTAGAACAATATATAATTGAAGTAGACCATTTCTAAAGCCTTTGTAGGCCCATTGCTATTTATGAGCAAATATTTCATATTTTTTAGTTTGATTTATTTTATTAAGATCAATTATTTTCTCTAAAAAATAATATATATGAATTAAAAATTTTGATTGATAATAGATTTGATTAAATTTTATTTTTAAATTTACCCTTTTCATTGTAAGCATATTTCTACTAATAAAAATTGATAGCTTATATTACGTTTTGAATGTTCATGAAGGAAAAAAAATATTTTGTGAGCCAATCGAATATTTCCCATCCGTCACTTTCATAATAAGATAACATGCCAAGCTCTTTTCCAACAACCCTAATCATGAAAAAAGTCGAACAAAAACCTAAAAAGCAATGCTAAAATCTGCAAAATATGCATCAATTGGTTGACCTCTAAGAGGAACAAAAGAATAAGGGAGAGAGAAGTTGACCTTAGAGACTATCATCACATTACAACCCAATGTAGTGATTTACTACTCATGAGAATGTTCAACATGAATCACCTTGGACATAATTAAAAGCCCATTCATAAGATCGGGCTAATGGACAGAAAGGAGGTGACAATCATGGCCAAAAGTCTAGAGAGACGGGTTTGATAATATATATGGAAGGCTTGGTCACGACCGCCATAGTTCTGGCACAAAAGATTCATTCACTGGTTGATATCATGGCATCATCATTTTGGTTCGGATTTTTATATTATCTAACTTACATAATAAAAGAGATATGTTTATAGAGCTTTTTAAACTATAGATTTTTATTGCTTTTATGTGATTTACTTTGATTACATCAGCCTAATTGAATTAGAAAATTTATACTCTAAACCATCCCGCAAATTCAATCAAAGCAGGCCCTTGGCAGCTATCAAGTCATCTACTAATGAGAAACATAAAAGGGGAAAAAATCAATAGAAGATGGACTTCATCGACGAAATGAAGCTCTGAAACCTTCATTTTCGGGCCAAGCAGAAAAAACTTAAAAACATATGTTAAGAACCGATAAGAAATATTAGATTTAATTCATTCAAGGTATTGGCTTTGCAATGAAGATCCAATGAACATGGATTAAATGGCCACTGGGTACAAAAAAGGTTCATTTGATTATACACAAGATTTCTTAAATCACGTAAATCAAAATGCCTCATATAATTTGGATATTTTCAATCCATTCTTGAAATTCCCTGCATCATTTGGGTAATTGTAATAATCTAGCAAAACATCGGATTGGATCAAATAAATTGAAAGCCAAAAGGATCTCGTGGTTACAAAAGATCGGAAAATAATGCAAAGCTATATTTCACCAAAGTGAAAAACTTGACTTAAAAATTAATTATAGATTTTCATGAATAGAGAAAGAGTAATGGTCAAGGAAATACTGAACTTTCAGAGATTACACCAAACAATTCGCAATTTGCTGCAAATATCGAAGAAAATGTGAACAGAAGCAATAAAGTGCACTAATGAGCAGATTTAAAGTATCTATGATAAGAGGCAGACAAGCTTTAATTGTTTAAATGCAAGTTTTATAAAAATTGCAATTCATGGTGCTAGGATTTACAAAGGGAAAAACATAGGCCATTCATCTTAAGGTAGAAAGCTATACAGCATTGCAACAAATAGGATGCTACACGAGAAAAAGGCTGACAGGGAAAGTAAAAGTTTTGAAAGAATAATTATAAGCAGAGAATCAATTATTAAAAATAAGGACTTACTAAACTTTAGTTTCAAATAGTAACTCGTCTTCCTGGCGCAACGTCAAGGCCAAATATGTGCCACAGTACAATGGGACCTTTCATGCATAATGAATATGGTTCTTCAGTTGGCATAGGATTGCCAAATGAAATAAAAATTATTCATCAAACATGCTAAACAATATTAATCAGAACAAAAAAATAAACCATCTACTGAATTCTCATTGAAGGTAGATTTAGAGGGGGCCTGAAAGGCATGTGCTCCCTTCACCCCATCCTCAACCCGCTCAAACTTCTAAAATTTCTTTATATATCATATTTTTATATTTTTATTAAATGTGTTTTTCACTAAATACAAAATTTGTGGTCCTGCTAGAAAAAATTCTAACTCCACCTATGTGGCTACAATGCTTGAATATTTGATTCAACCGTCAATACAAGTACTGATTAAAGGCTACTGATGATAGTAATCATAATCGAAGCAACCAATAGAAACATGACTTTTTTGTGGAATACACAACTGACAATTTACTTCACCCAAGAAAATCCCTTGCTTATTGATCTGATAATGTTACGGTTTACTTCACCCAAGAAAATCCCTTGCTTATTTACTTCACCCAAGAAAATCCCTTGCTTATTGATGAAAACTTCTGATAATGTTACGGTTTATTTATGTACACATTTTGGGTTCATATTATAAATCAATATGACATGCATATAATTTATTATCACAAATACTAATAAAAACATAGAAAAACAAGCAAATGAATATGCAAATTAAAATATATGACCATTTGATT